AAAAAAAAAAAAGGAAACAATCCGTTAAGTACTCCTTTTTTTTTCAAATTTGCCTTTGGGTAGTCTATAAAGAACAGTCTGACCTACTATTCTCTTTACCTCCAAGAGTATTGTGAACACTAAATTTGGAAAGACTTGAAAATTGGACATTTGGTTTTGCCTTTAGGATGGAAACAATACTATAACATTCTAAGTGTGAGCACAGAAGTGATCTATGTGATCTTCTCACCTCTTTGTAAATTCCTGAAACACAGGAGATTAAAAACACTGGTTTCAGCTCTTCATGATGCTTGTTGAAATTGCCTGCCAGAGTGTACAAGGATGTCATCAGGCTTACGGCTCTGAGTCAGCCCCATGTCATCGTCTAATCAGTCCTCTCCTCTGATAGAAAGCATCTCAGATCCACGTAGTAAAAAGCACCCTAGGACTGAGATAAACCCCTTTCTCAAACACTAAAGCTGGCTCCCAAGGCCTTGGACAGGGGAACACCTCCTGGGTGCTGGGTCCACCCTGGGCCCTTGGATGTGGTGTTGGCATTTTCACTTGATCTGTATAGCTAGAAAGATTTCCCAGAAAGCAGTTTTCTTTTTGAAATACATAACTGTTGAAACTAGGCAGCCTCAAACTCAGCTGCACAGTGGCAAGTACAGGACTGTCTTGTTTGTGGTACGGTTGGAGGTGCTGGGATGAGAGTGTCAGCAGGGCCATTTACTCAAAACTGTCCACTGTCTGGCTGCTCCTGTGGACACAGCTTTGTACCTGATTCACAGACTGTGAATGCATCTTTTTTATAAACACCTTTCAAATTCAAATTCTTGGTGGGATATAATTTTAATAGATGATTGCAGATTTTCTTGTATTTGTCCACTTAATAAAAACTGCATGAATCCAACTGTGCTAGTTTTTTTACATGAAAGTATTACAGAGGTGGTCCTCAGGTTACGGATGAGATACATCCCTCAGAACTTCTTTAGGTCAGATTTCTACATAACTTGGATCCCTAATGAACAGTACATATGTGGTAATAATAACAATGTTATAATGGCTCATGTGGTAATAATAATAAGATGTACTATAATAATAATATCCCTGTACTGTAACATTAAGCTAAAGAAACAAAAACAATTGAGCTTGTTTTTAATTCCTATGCTAATAGGAATGTTACATTTATTTTAGTCTTCTAACAAAACCAATAACCTTTGTGTTTCAATAATTAATCCACTATGCTTCCTTTTTTTTTG